ATAATGTGGAATTCAACTTTTTAGAGTTGTTACAAGAAAAAGAGGAGTTTAAACTAGAATAAAAACAAAAAAAAACCCTAAATATAAGGAACATGATAGCACTTGTATTATTATGTTGCATGAATGTACTTTTATTTATACATTGCAGTGTTTCAGTAGGAATTTATCAAGAGACTAGCAATAAAAAAGTTTTTGCTGCACTTTCACACCCAATCAGAGTGTCAAGATTGACACCCCGGTCACATCGGGTGTCAGTTGGCATGCGATTTGAATGCCCTGCGACTTGCAAATCGTATGCCAAGTCACACCCTATTGTCCGCTATTAGAGCGGTTATATCTTGGTCGGAGCCGCACCGATTTCTAAAGTACTACTGTTCTTGTGATTTGCATAGACATCTGTACCAGATGTCTTGCAAATCGCAACCTGAACTCGGCAGGTCACCAGATTTTGAAATCGTGCAACTTCACTGTAAGTCGCACAATTTCAAAATCGGCTTTGATGTGACCGGGGGGCTAAGTGTGGCTTCAAAACTGCCAATTGATTACCATGCACAGCTGCGCCAGATTCTGAGTGCACCAGTTTTATTAAATCTACCCCATTGTGTCAGCTGTCCTACATATTATTGCTATTGATTTTTTGCTTTTCACTCCAAATGCCAGAAGGAGTACTGCATCCCTTACAGGAAATACAAACGCTGTCACTGGTTTTGTTGAATGACAAAAGTATATATATTAATATACAGTATATATTCTGTATGTACTGTATACAATATAGTTTTAACAGTCAGTCAAAGTGGTTGTAAACGGCTGAAGGTTTTTTTTTGTGCATTCTCTGCATAAAGGTGAAAAACCTTCAGTGTGTGCTGCTCCCCCACAGCCCCCCTAATACTCACCTGAGCCCCCTCTCCATTCAGCGATGTGCATGGGAGCCTCGGCTCTCCTGGGTCTCTCTCTTCTCATTGGCTAAGACACAGCAGCAGGAACCATTGGCTCCCTCTGCTGTTATTCACAGCCAGTGAGCCAGTGAGCCACTGAAGAGAGAAGGGGTGGAGCTGAGCTGCAGCACTCTGTGTCTTCTGGATGCATAGAAAGATGTATCTTTCTGTTTATTCATCTATAGATCAAAGGGATGAATTTCAATCTGCAGATGAAGTCATTTATAGTGTTACTAAATCCAATTCTCCCCTTCTTCTACTGTCCCCAATCCATCTGCTGATAGAACACAGCCTTGGGGGCAAGATGCACATGCTCAGTTTGGTGTGTATTGCTAGAGTTTTTTTGTTTTCTTGGGAAAGTGCATGTGATCAGCACAAGGCCAATCAGTACTGTCCACACAGAGGTCAGGGGTTATTCAGCTCATCATAGGACAATCAGGGAAGAATGTAAATGCCTCCTACAAGCTTTAGCCAGTGCTCTGCTGGACACTGATAGGAGTCACAAGACTGCTCTAACTGCTGCTGAGAAAAGGTATTTAGCAGTTTATATTTACTAAAGTAATTGCATTTCCATGTTTTGTGTGCTGTGGGAGACCAGATATAGTGAGTGCAGGGTCCTGGGTTTAGTAACACGTTAAAGGCAACTTGTCAAGTAAAAAAAAAGTTTTTTTTTTGTTTTGTTTTTAATAAATGTTCTTCTGTTTAACCCCTTATTAACCCTTAATTTATCTAATCAGCCATAATTAACTCCTCATTCCCCTTCTCCATTTAATTATTATTATTTTATATTATAATTATTATTTTCCAGCTGTTTTTTTTTTGTTCATTTCTATTTTGTAAACTTTTAATAATTAAAATTTTTTTGTTGTTTTTGTTTGCTTTATTTATTATTTTTGCACCTTTAACATACATATTTACACATTTCACAAAAAGTGCAAAATTTAAAAAAATAAATGTATTTCATTTGTGAATAACTTTTCAATGCTTTGTACCATAACTAGAATTTTAGTGTAATTTTAAGGACACATTACATAATACAATGTACACTTATGTGCAGTAACACTATTTATTTTTAAACTAACATCTCTCAAGATTTTTATAGTTTTGTTGCATTTCATTGTCTAAGGATTGTGAAAAAAATATAATTGTTGCAGGACAATATTCATGATAAGAAAGTCATGTTTCTAGATTGTAAGCTCGAAAGAGCAGGGCCCTCGATCCCCTCATGTTTTGCATTGTATTGGTATTGTTCTGTCACATGTTCTGTCCCCCTTTGTAATGTACAGCGCTGAGCGAACCATTGGCGCTTTATAAATACCGTATAATAATAACAATAATAATGTTTGTCCTTAAAAAACAATACATGTATTACTATGTTATTTTAGGTAATAACAATTTTTTTTTGCCAAATAAACAGGTCCATAGCAGAAATGTAAAAATTGCTCTGGTCCATAAGGGATGAACATGTGTGAGAGCCGAAGTGGTTAACGAGCAGGGACACCAAATCCTTAACAAACGATCACTCATTCAGATGTCAGTGGGTTTCAGCTGCTGACAGCTGAAGTGTAAACAAAACCATTGCTGGCAGGTATTGGTAATTGGTATCGGCAATTTAAAAAAAAAGTATCAGTACTCGCTGTAAAATTAATGGTATCAGTGCATCCCTACTAATAACCCCTGCATTGTACATGAATATGGAAAGCGACTGCCCACAGCCAGGAGCGTTGGGTAGAAGAAGAGAGCACTGGAGCCTTCCAGAGCAAAGAAAACCACTACCCACTACAGTTAACCTAAGCAACACAAACTGAAAACACTATTAAATTCTGTCTTAGGGCTGCAATGTCTGTTGCATTGCTTTATTTTGTTGAGAAATCACTTTGAAAATCACACCTCTAGCATTTCTAGCTGTTGCCATCTTGAGTAAGGGTAGATGATTCATGTAGCAATCACTTCCTGGAATCCATCTACCCTTAGTTCAGGCATGCAGGCAGGAGGGTATGCTTAGCTGAGTAAACCCCTCCTTCAGATGAAAAAGAAGAAAATGCCCATGAAGACTCCTGGGATGTATGGCATCATTTTGGTGTAGGCTAAAAACCAGGAAGTAACCAAAGATATGTAAAATAAAAAAAAAGATTAAAATGAGTAACTAGAAGATACCATGCTGTTTACTAAGGCTAGCAGCATAAGGATGAAAAATAGTTCCTATTGATTGAGAGAGTTTAGTTCCATTTTTATTCTTACAGTGTGATGGGACCCACTGCAAGGATTTTTTGTTCCCATCCTGGAGTTAGGGTTCAGGATCAGGGGCGGACTGACCATTTGGAAACTCAGGCAAGGACACAGGGGCCCCATGATCCCCTATTGCGCGAGGCCCAATGAGTTGTCAGTCCGCCCCTGTTCAGGATAGAAAAAGATTATTAATACAAGGCATGTCAATAATTTGATTCTGCCTCAAACAGCCAAATGCACATGCAGAATCACTGCTGTACTGTAATGTACAACTATAGCCTAATACTGTATTATAGAGCCATTTATGCCAAACTACATACAACTGTTTTGGGATTTTTGTCCATCATCATTGCAGTATATTGCAGCTTACCAATCATTAGATGTGGTGGCTGCGTTAGCTTTCTTTTTTAGGTTATTTACATCTGCTTTTACCTGGTGATCTGGACAGTAATACACCTCCTATATTAACCTCCCTGGCGGTATTCCTGAGTGTAGCTCGGGGTAAAGTTTCAGTACCACAAGTGGTAACCCTGAGCTGCACTCGGGCTTACCATGCGGCACTGCTCCGGGATCTGTTCTTCTCTTACCTTGCCCTGCACTCCCGCGATGTCCCTCCTGCAGTGTCCCCGGCAATGTCCTCCGGCAGATGCCGGCATCTGTCATCTGGGTTCCATCCCCTGCGAGCGTCGGGATGTACGTGGGACGGAATGGCGGGAAATTTGAAAATGACAAAAAGTGACATTCACTAAAATCACATAGTAAACCATTACTGTATCAAACCATTTCACATACATTTTGTCCCTAGTGCTATGTCCTGTGCCCTGCCTGCATTTTTACTGTTCTTTCTGCCTGGAAACTGAGAAACGTAAATGGCATCCAAAAAGCGTCCCTTTAGGTCAAAAGCGGTTTTAGACCAGCTAGAGAACAGCGATCGTAAATCAGAACCACTTGCAGAATTGAGTGATGATTCGTGGGGAAATTCGTCATCAGACACTGAAAACGATTTTGTGACTTTGCTCAGTGATGTGCGAACTTGGCGCTATATTTCAAATTTCAGTGTTTTTGGTTTGATTATATTATTGAATTAAATTTATTATTATATTATTATTTTTTTATGATTATTTATTAAATTATAATTAATGATTTCGTGTTTCAAGTTTTATCCTACTCGGGATGTTTACTAGACTCTTGTTCAGACACAGATTTCAGTGAGTTATTCCTAAAAATTACAGGCCTACAATAAAAAAAATACATATTTCCATGCAAAAAAATGTACCGCTCTGAGCACAGAAATATGGACATAATCAGACTACTAGGGAGGTTAAAATACCCCCACTTGTCAGTGTGTGGGGAAGAGAGTGTTAGATGTAGTAGCAGATTTAGATACACTAATACATTGAAGCGAAACTCCAGCTCATACGTTATAAGCAGTTAAAGCAAACCATTTTTTTTCCTTTTGGGATAAAGATTTTACATAAATAAATATAATTGATCATTGTAAGGACCCCTGTCAGTGTTGAATAGTTTTTCCCATCCCTGTAACTGAGAGTTACAAGAGAGTTTGTTCTTTTGAAGACTTTCTGGCCAGATCAATAGGTGAAAATTAAGGGAAGAAAGCCTAAAAAAAGTATACAAATGCAGCCATCACATCAAATGATTGCTAAGCCACAATATAATAAACATTTGCTTCTGGGTTTAATACTGCTTTGAGTTTAAGATATGCATACTCAAGATACACTATATTGCCAAAAGTATTGGGACACTCCTCCAAATCATTGGATTCAGGTCTTCCAATTACCTCCAAGGCCACAGGTGAATACAATCAAGCACCTAGGAATGCAGACTGCTTCTACAAACGTTTGTGAAAGAATGGGTCTCAGGAGCTCAGTGAATTAAAGCACGGTACTGTGATAGGTTGCCACCTGTGCAATAGGTCCACCTGTGAAATTTCCTTGCTACTAAATATTCCATGGTTGAGTGTTAGTGGTATTGTAACAAAGTGGAGGAAACTGGAAACAACAGCAACTCAGCCAGGAAGTGGTAGGCCATGTAAAATGACAGAGCAGGTTCAGCTCATGCTGAATGCACAGTGCATAGAAGTTGACAACTGTCTGCAGAGTCAATGGCTAAAGACTTCCAAACTTCATGTGGCCTTCAGATTAGCACAACAACAGTGCATAGAGAGCTTCATGAAATGGGTTTCCATGGCCGAGCAGCTGCATCCAAGCCGTACATCATCAAGTGCAATGCACTTGCGTAAAGCATGCCACCACTGGACTCTAGAGCAGTGGACATGTGTTCTCTGGACTGATGAATCATGCTTCTCTGTCAGGCAATCCAATGGATGTGTCTGGGTTTGGCGGTTGCCAGGAGAACAGTACTTACTTGACTGCATTATGCCAAGTGTAAAGTTTGGTGGAGGGGGGTTATGGTGTGGGGTTGTTTTTCAGGGGTTGGGCTTGGCCCCTTAGTTCCAGTGAAAGGAACACTTAAGGCATCAGCATACCAAGACATTTTGGACAATTTCATGCTCCCAACTTTGTGGGAAGAGTTTGGGGATGGCCCCTTCCTGTTCCAATATGACTGCGCACCAGTGCACAAAGCAAGGTCCATAAAGACATGGACGAGTGAGTATGGGACGGAGGAACTTGACTCAACCCGACAGAACACCTTTGGAAAGAATTCAGGCAGAGACTGCAAGCCAGCTTCTTGTCCAACATCAGTGCCTAACCTCACAAATGCGTTTCTGGAAGAATGGTCAAACATTCCCATAGACACACTCCTAAACCTTGTGGACAGCCTTCCCAGAAGAGTTGAAGCTGTTATAGCTGCAAAGGGTGGGCCAACTCAATATTGAATGCTATGGACTAATACTGGGATGCCATTAAAGTTCATGTGCGTGTAATGGCAGGCTTCCCAATACTTTTGGCAATATAGTGTATGTATATACTTTGCTGATTGCTTTTGCTACATTGAGTGGATAGAAAATGTTATATTTTTTTCTGCGTTTGCTACACATACGGAATTGAAATTAAGGTATTGTGATTTAGTGATTGTTCTGTTCTCACACATCAACTGGCCATTCCTACAAGAAGTCTGACTGATTTACTGTAGGAATGAGAAAAGTGTTAGCATTTAGAAGGCAAGTCATCGACCTGTTTCCAGGAAGTCATTCGTGGGATATAATACCGATGGTGCATTGCTAGTGACGTGTAAGCTTCACAGAAGACATATGTCATTACCATTGTCTTGTAACACACATACACATGCACACACTAAATAATGCCAATAAGTGAAGGTTAAAGATTTACTGTAGCCTAAAAGATAGTAACATTTTAGGCACAGTTTGCATATTTCTATATGGTAAGCTTTTAAGAGACCCTGCTTCTTTATGAAATGTTTTAAACCAAGCACATACCTGGAACCCTGACCATTCCTGCCTGCCCTAGCCAATGATAATCTCCTGCAACGCTCAATTGTTTTTTGTCCTGAACTTACTTTGCTGTAGGAAACTGTGGGGGACCCCAGAGATCGACACTCCTGGAAGTGTCAGTTTCCCAGTAATCTTCAGGGTACCTGTTGTCTGCAAAGTGCAGTGTTGTGGGCAGGAGGAAAGGTAGGTCTGTACACTCTTATTTGCAAGTATTTGCTTGTATTAAAACATTTTATAAAGTGGCAGGATCTCTTTAAAGCATGAAAAGACATGATAAAATTATAAATAATAAGCTTTTTACATTAAAATATAAACAAAATAAAGGCTTTATATTGTGAGATTTAGATATTTTCATTCCTTAGGGATTGTATAAAGGATGCAGGTACCATAGATCATATTTGCTTTAAGCTACAATGACGTTTTGGCTTCAGCTAGAAACTGTGAGTAATATGCTAAATAAATGTGACCTTCTGTTTGATGCCAGCTGAGTGTCACCATCTGCTCTTTAGATCATGTGCTTTACTCCAATTTTTCTTTAAGTGGTTTACAGTATTTTCCATTGGATATCAACACAACCACTTGCAAGTTGGTGCAAAGGAGCTACAAACTACTTAAAAACTGCTTAATATGATTGTACCATATTATTATGTCATTCAATAGTCAACCTCAAGTTCAGAAATGTAAAAACAAATATTTTAAGCAATTTTCACTGCCTTGTGACTTTTTACTTTAAATATGGTGACGTCTCTGTGTTTGCTTAAGCGATAATGACATTTTGATACTTAGAAGCAGCAGCCAAAGCACTTATATGAGTTAACCCAAATGTTCTCCTTTGCCTGATACTCAGAACCCATTCAGACTTGTTCCTAGAAGGAAACCTGTCACAAATCTGGGCAATATATACTTGCCTCTTATGATATCATGGACAAAAATTACATAAGGGGAGATTACGGTTAGCAAAACCCAAATGTTAACTGATCAAATCAAGAAATATTGGCATTGAAATTATATGCAAATATGGACTCTTTGCCATGAAAGTCAAGTGTGGACCTCTGTCCTCTTGCCTTCCAAGCCTCACTGTTGGTCTTGGTTTTTTGTTTTTTTTTACCAAAATTGAGATAGGAGGAGAAGGGGGTGAATCAAGCTTGCTCTCTGGGGGATAGTTTGATATTTGCATATAACTTTCAGCTTTTGGATCTATTGATTGTTTTGACACATGGTTTTCACTAAAGCAAAACTCTGACAGTGCATATATTCATATTCATATGCTCAGTATAAATTGCTCAGGGCATAACATTTGGGGCATTATGTAAAAGAGGGACTCGGTGGAAGGAAATTATTTCTTTACAAAACAGGAACCATCCCTCCCAAAACAAACTTTCAGTGTTACCACCATCCATAGACTGCATAAACTATGTTTACTAAGATCTTGATGGTTTCCATATACACATAGGGGTTGATTTACTAAAGGCAACTAGAGTGCTCACTAGGCAGACTTCCATCATCCAATCATGCGCAGGCAAAATGACTGTTTTTAAATTGTCCTTGCATGTGATTGGGTGTTCTTTGCAAAGTGAAATTTCACCACATTCACTAAACTCTAGACAAAATTCCCTTGCAAAGTGCAACTTAGCTGGAAACAAACAGCTTATTTGTCTTTAGTAAATTAACATCATAATTTAGCAAAGTTATTTAAAAAAAGAAAAAGAAAAAAAGACTTGACCCACATGACATTCTTTTACCCAATTGGAGGTATTTTGGTTGGGATTATGTACACAGTTATAGTGGGTTACTATCAAGTGACCAAAGAATGGTCATGACTAGAGATGTAAAATTTCCAGAAATGTTTAAGCCATGAGAAAAAAAAACCTTTTTTTCCTCTATTTTTTTCAGGAAAAAATGGAAATTAACAGAAAAAGTAAAAAAAAAAAAAAAATCAGTGTGGAGTAGTTTTACAAATTGAAAGCCATTTTGTTACACTGAAAACATTAAATGTAGCGTATATAAATGTATTATGCTTGAAATAAAAGTACAGCTTATTCCTTAACCTCCCTAGCGGTTTTCCCGAGTCTGGCTTGGGGTTAAATCTAGCTGTCAAAAGCAGTAACCCGCAGCCAGACTCGGGCTCACCGCAATCTAATTACCTGGTGCCGATCCGTGTCCCGAGTCCTGCGCTGCCAGCAGCCATCCCCTCTGTCCGTCCCCAGTCTCCTTCCCTGCTTCTCTGGTTCCCTGGTATCTCACGCTGATCTGTGTGATCAACATGAGTCGGCCATGCTGTGCCGACAGGAGGTGGGGCTTGTGGGAGGTGGGAATTATAAAAATAGATCAGTGTCAAAATAAAGTGTTACTCAGGGGCGGACTGACAACTCATGGGGCCCCTGGGCAATAGGGGATCATGGGGCCCCTGTGTCCTTGCCCAAACTCAAAAAAGCCTATGAAAAAGGTACCAGGGGCATCTCATGGGGCCCCCTACTGACCCCGGGCCCTCGGGCAGTGCCCGAGTTTCCAAATGGTCAGTCCGCCCCTGGTGTTACTCTTGTGCATACATTGTAACTTTACCTCAGATATTTCAATAGTGCAGTTTTTCAGTTTCTGTGACTCAAAACGGTTTTGCGCTCATGGCCTCCAAAAAGCGCCTCGCTAGCGCTAAAGTGGTTTATGATGAGCTAGCAAACAGTGACAGTGAGAAGCTACTTGAATTGAGCGATAGCGTCTCATGTGGCGATTTGTCTTCAGACACCAAAAGTGAAGACAGCGGTGAATCTGAGATTGACATGAGTGATCTGCGCACGTGGTGCACTATTAATTGCGATACGCCAGCGCCGCCAAGATTTCCATTTACCGGCGCACCTGGTATGAAAATACACGTTGAAGGTGACAACCCCTTGACGTACTTGGAATTGTTTCTGACCGATGAGGTTATTGAAATTATCGTGACAGAGACAAATAGGTACACAGCAGCGCAACAACTAGCTGCTCCACACAGCCAGTTTTCACGAAGCAGAAAGTGGGAGTCTGTCACCAAAGAGGACATTTGGCTGTTTCTTGGCCTAATTATTCTGCAAGGAGTGGTGGGGAAATCGCTGCAGAAATGGTACTGGACCACAAACAAAATGCTTGCCACACCGATCTTTGGCACCGTCATGTCGGAGTACAGCTTTTCCCTCATTATGAAATTTTTGCACTTTTCGCAAATAATGAAGATTTTGATGAATCGAACTCATCCATCTACCAAGCTAAAAAAAATTTGGGAAGTCTCCCAAATAATTGTCAGAAATTTCCAGCAGAGCTATGTGCCAGAGAGAGAGAGACATCAGCATAGACGAAAGTCTAATGGCCTACAAAGGAAGGCTCAGCTGGATACAATATATCGCATCCAAGAGAGCACGATCTGGCGTCAAATCCTACCTGCTGTGCGAATCCTCTACCAGCTACATCTGGAACACAGTCATATACACCAGCAAAGGAACAAAGTTTGATCCCAAGTACAGCAACTACGGAATGGCAACATCTTCCATCCTGTCACTGATTGAGCCTCTGCTAAACCAAGGCTACTGCGTAACGACGGAAAATTTTTACACCTCTCCAGAACTATACGAGGTTCTTCTTCAGCACAGAACGAATGCCTATGGAACCATTGGAGCTAACTGGCGCAACCTGCCATCCATGTTTGCAAAAAACAAATTGAAGTCGGGAGAATTAGTTGCCTGGCAGAAAGGCAAAATTATTGCATTGAGATGGCGGGACAAGAAGGATGTGTGCCTAATGAGTACCGTTCACAATGCCTCCACAGTGATGGTACAAACAAAAGGAGGGAAAAACATCCAGAAGCCGCAGGTTGTTATTGACTACAACAGCACCATGGGAGGTGTTGACAGAGCTGACCAAGCTATGACTTTCTATCCGGCGATAAGAAAGCAACAGAGGAAATACTATAAAAATATTTTCCGGCATCTTCTGGAACAGTGTTTGTGGAATGCCTATATTATGTTCCGCAAAAACAGTGACAAGCCTGTGGTTCATGCGGACTTTATCTGGAAAGTGGCGGAATCAATTTTCCTCAAGCATCAAACACCATCAGTGTCTGTGGGTAGATCCGGACGATGTGCTGTGGGAGTTGTCAACCCAGAAAGTCTGACTGGATGTCATTTTATAGACCACATCCCGCCAACCCAAAAAAAGGCAGCACCTACACGGATGTGCGTGGTATGTTGCTCTCGGCGAGATGAGAATGGAAAGAAAATCTGCAAGGAAATGAGGTTCCACTGTCCTGATTGCGATGTTTGGACTTTGCGCAGTCCTGTGTTTCAAAATTTACCACACCCGTGATGTTTTCGAAAACAAAATGCAGTGTCTATATAATATTGTTTGGACAGAGTTCCGTGTGTTTGATGTGGTTACATTATTTAATTGATTATTATATTATTATTTTTTATTATATTATAATTTAGAATTTAATTTATTAAACTTTATTGCACCAAGGATGTCTACTAGACTCTTGTTTAAACAGATTTCAGTGAGTTATTCCTAAGAATTACAGGCCTACAATAAAAAAACAACATATTTCCATTGAAAACAATGTACCGCTTTTAGCACAGAAATACTGAGATAATCATATCGCTAGGGAGGTTAAATAAACTAAACTTGCTTTTTGGTCTCACAATTTTGGTGCATGTTAGTCTCACTTTACTGAGAGGAGGAAGAAAACCATTTACTGACCAGACCATAGGTAAACACGATGGTGGAGAACATTAATAGGAATCATTTAAAGGTTATAAAAATAAACTAAGTTGTGAAATATACTCTCTTAACTCTCAATTAAGGCCTAAGAGGAGGACATAAATTATCATCTACTGTATCCCAGCAATCAGCCAACTATAGGAGGTACAAGATGGAGAGAGAACTGCAAATGCAGCTGCATTGAGAAGTACAGTGTTACTTGAATTGTATTCCAGGACTTGCTTGTCTTCAGCTGAGAGAACTTGCAATAATTTAAGGCTTTACATAAAGTCTCAGAAATCTTTCATCGAGGTCTTAATGTTATATACTGTAGTTTGAATACCATGTCATAGATATAATTATCATTATAAAAAACATATTCCCCATTCCTTTTTTAAATTTTTCCAGAAAAATTTAAAAACAAAAAACAAAAACAGCTTTGGAAAAAAATGGAAAAAACTGTTTTTGAATATATAAAATAACTCAGGACCTTTCTTAATCTGCCCAATTGTTCTCCCAGCAGCAGCCAGCCAGCATCATCTGTGCCTTTTGTTTTAACCACTTCCCGTCCGGGCCCATGTATATAAACGGTCAGACGGGAGCAGTGCAGGGGCAGGTGGCCATTTATAAACATCCTCGCACTTCCCTGCCTGTGCGCGCTCCCTGGGAGCGCGCTGCACCGCGATCCCTGGGAGCGCGCTGCACCGCGATCCGGTGCCCGCTGTGTCCTCAGTACACAGCGGAACACAGATCGCTGTAGGGGACCTCTGTGTGAGGTTCCCGATCATGTGATCACTGATTGGCCAATCAGTGATCACATGAATAGTAGTAAGCAAGATCTCACTTCTGACATCATTGCTTACTACTAGTGAAATCTGTGAATGATCACAGAGGTCACATGGTAGAAGGCTATTCACAATAGCCTAGTACCATGTGACAAGCTGTGACCAATCACAGTTTGCACAGTATTTCTCAATGGCTGCAAGAATGCAGCCAGAAAGAAGGAGAAATTATTGCTTTTATAGCCTTTATGAGTGTAAAAGCGATCAGTGTAAAAAAAAAAATCTTCATCACCCCCCACAAGTAGTACAGTGTCACTATGGTGACACTGTACTGCTAGGGTGACAGTATGTTAAAAAAACATAAATAATATAAAAAAAATATAAAAATGTACAAAATGTTTTGAAAAATTATAATTTTTGGTTATAAACTAATTTGGGATATTATTTTTTTTTTACTAAAAAGATAGCTGAATACAATGTGGCCAAGATTTATTAAGAAAGATAATTTATTTGCAAAATTTTATAAGAAAAACACTTTTTTTTCAAAATGTTGGGACTTTTTTATTTATATAGCAAAAAAATAAAAATCCCAGTGGTGAATAAATACCACCAAAATAAAGTTTTATCTGTCTCAAAAAAAAAATGCTAAAAAATTCATATGGGTACAGTGTTGCATGATCGCGCAATTGTCATTCAAAGTGTGATAGCACTGAAAGCTGAAAATTGGCCTGGGCAGGAAGGGGGTGAAAGTGTTTGGACATGAAGTGGTTAAAGTATGTGTGTGTATGGCAAAGTAAATTTGAAAAATGAAATTCAATTAAAATAGTTTTTGCTGCGTCGTTACTTGTGCGTATATGTCAGCATCCTGCCCTCTATAATTGATCTTCTGCTTTCCTGTTAATCCTGTCAATAGTGTGTTGGGTCACTTCATTTAATTGGGCACAGAAATGTCCTCAGTATTGTCAGTCTGCCCTCCTGAGCATCTCCTAATGACTAAAGTGCAAGGGAACAAGAGCTCCTTTAACTTCCCTGTGTCCCTGGGGAAGATGTTCATAGCTACTCCCACATATGCACAACAACCACTTTTGTTTCACCCCCTATCGTTTGAATGGCAGTAATCTGCACACTACTCTGCCTACATGGCAGAAGGGAGAATAGAAGGAGAGGGATGTAGTATAAAGCTATGTCAGTAGAAAGGATGTAGGAAGCATTGTAACTAGTTGTGACTGAGGCTGACTGTCCTGCCGCAAGTTCATGTATTGAAATGCATCAGATTATTATTATTGTTCCTTAGTATGCTAACATATTGTGACAGCTTCTGTTCTCTACAACTTGTTTACTAATGTGATTTTGGTATCTTCCTTTGTCCTACCTGTTTGTTTAGTGCTAATTAGTTTAGTCATAGCTAGACACTTCCCTCTTCTTTCATGTTCCCCTTCTGCAGCCTCCCTGGTGGTATTCCCAAGTTTAGCTTGGGGTAAAGTTTCAGTACCACAAGCGGTAACCCCGAGCTACACTCGGGCTTACCATGCAGCGCTGCTCATATTTCCATGCATAAAAATGTACCGCTTTGAGCACAGAAATACTGACATAATCAGACCTCTAGGGAGGTTAATAGGAATGCACTGCAGCTATGCCCTGCAGCATGTTGCCATTCAAAATGATTTGCATCATAACACATACAGTCAGGTCTATAAATATTGGGACATCGACACAATTCTAACATTTTTGGCTCTATACACCACCATAATGGATTTGAAATGAAACGAACAAGATGTGCTTTAACTGCAGACTGTCAGCTTTAATTTGAGGGTATTTACATCCAAATCAGGTGAACGGTGTAGGAATTACAACAGTTTGCATATGTGCCTCCCACTTGTTAAGGGACCAAAAGTAATGGGACAGAATAATAATCATAAATCAAACTTTCACTTTTTAATACTTGGTTGAAAATCCTTTGCAGTCAATTACAGCTTGAGGTCTGGAACGCATAGACATCACCAGACGCTGGGTTTCATCCCTGGTGATGCTCTGCCAGGCCTCACTGCAACTTTCTTCAGTTCCTGCTTGTTCTTGGGGAA